ATTATAGCCCAATGCACATATATGTTCCTAACTATATCAGTTCGCTGGGTAGCCACAAGATGTGTTCTTGGTATTCCTCATATATAGCTAAATATATATGTGTTGTTTTTAGGTAACTGATCATTGATGTATAGTGTATATTCTCTTGATGCCTAAAAACACCTGGGGTGTGATATGCTTAGAATCATATGGTGTTAATAGTCCTTGCAGGAATATTTCTTTCTGCCCTGGGCAGAGACCGAGGAAATCTTAGACACCATTTTATCACATACACTGGATGACACTGAACGGGGGTAACTACCAGCCCTGGCCACTAACATACTCGCCATTTGTTCCCCAGCTAGGGAGTCCATGCTCCTCATCATGCCGAGGCCTGAGAATCCTCACTAAAGAATTTAGACAGATGATGTGCGTCACGAGAAAACAAACCTAGGAGTGGACCGACTGCTCCCAGGAGGCTCTCTGGTTATAGCATCCTGAGCTGTGTGTGGCTGAGATTTCCCCTGCTCTGTGTTAAAGTGGTTATTAAAAAATATGGCCTGTGTGGTAGCGGGGTATTTCAGGAGCCTTAGAGCATACTGAACATCATGTGTCCTGTGATACCCAGATCGAACAAAGCCAATTCTCAGCATGGCAGGCTGAAATCTGCATCTCTCTGTACTGATGCAACATTTATGTCAGAATTAGCGTTAGGATAGCTCCTATGGGAAGAAAAAGCTCTTCTACAAGATGCACTACTTTCGTGTACAACATCCTTGGACAAAGAAGGGAAGAAAGATCATTGGCTCGGCAAATTGTAGCAAACAGGTGTGATTAGTGTGTGCAAACCTTATTCGATGAATGTCTACATATATTATAGGAATTACATCCACTAGTATCTTATCAATTTTATATAAAATGTCTCCTTTCTCTCTTTAGAATTGCATAATACTAATAATGCACTCATTCAGGTACAAAAGACAGTGACTATAATTTCTTTTGGCATGAAGAAGGACTCCCTATGATTATAGTCCCTCCCACCATTTGATTTTTGTGATGTTTCCTGACCAGAGAATGTTAAGAGTCCTAAGAAATAAGGTCAGATTTCCACAAAAAGTTGAACATCCAATGCCCACTGGTAAACAGAATGCAACAGGAAAGTCTGTGTGGTATCAAATGAATCAAGAGCTCTGAGTAACTGTAAACATTTTAGAGAAAGGTGCCATCTTTTAAGCATCCAAAGGAGACCATCGATCTAGAAACAATGAGTAACATCTTTCTGATTCACAAGTCAGATTCTGTGGGACACAACTATTGACATATAAAAATTCAAATTCCTCCAAGTCAAAGCTTGTAAATCGCATGGAGTTCTGAGTCTTACCCACCATAAGGCAAGGGCAATTCTTTTTCTTTCTTTTTTTTTTTTTTTTGAGACAAAGTCTCACTCTGTTGTCCAGGCTGCAGTGCAGTGGCATGATCTCAGCTCACTGCAGCCTCCACCTCCCGGGATCAAGTGATCCTCCCACCTCAGCCTCTCGAGTACCTGGGACTACAGATGTGCATCTCTATGCCTGGCAAATTTTTGTATTTTTAGTAGAGACAGGGCCTTGCCATGTTGACCAGGCTGGTCTCGAACTCCTGGTCTCAAGTCATCTGCCTTCCTTGCAGCCTCCCAAAGTGCAGGGACTACAGATGTGAGCCACTGTGCCTGTCAGGCAAGTGCAATTCTAAGAAAGATAAATGATCGGAGGGAAAAAAGTCAGCCATGTTTCAAAAGAGAAATGAAGGCTGGTGAGTAAATAAAATACTGATAGAAGTATAGAGTAGGTGCTTTGTTACATGTTCACATTCACAAGGAACCTTAAAATGGAATGTCTTCTCTGATATTGTTTGAATTTGGACTCTAAATTTGAAAAGCATTATTAGTGTCAAAAATTTATTTTTCTGATCCTAATAATTGTCCTGTACTAAACTTTCAACAAAATGGCTTATAGGTAATTTTCCTAAAATTAATATAAAAGTATATTAATGAGCTAAACATCCATCTTAACAGTATAAAAACAACAGAATAAACTAAAATACAGTAGGAAAGAGCTAATAAAGATAAAGTTTAGTTAAATTGTATTTTTTTGGAAGGGGGAGGATATGATGCAACAGTGCTCTCATGTATTGGTGGGAACGCAACATAGTACAGTCCATTTGGAAGACAGTTTGACATTTCTTTAAAAACTAAGCATACTCTTACCATATGGTTCAGACACTTCTTGGCATTTCCCCCAAAGAGTTGAAAACATATGTCCACGCAACCAGCACCTTCCCACCCCGCCCCCCCACACACACAAACTAATGTTTATTGCAACTTTATTCATAGTTGCCAGAACTTGGAAGCATCAAATTGTTCTTCAGTGGGTGAATGGCTAAACTGTGGCACATCTGGACAATGGAATTTTTTTGAAAGTTCGATACAGAAGATTAGCAAAAATTGCTCCTTTGAAAAATCTGATAAACAATCAGATCTCAGGCAAGAATAATCTAGACAAAAAGAGAGGATGCACAATCGAACTATATTAAAAGTTGAAATGGAACTGTAACTACAAATAAAACAGATATTGAAAAGATAAAAGAATTCAATAAAAAATGTATGCTACTGAATGCAAAATATTGATCAAAATGCACAATTTCCTAGAAAATAAAAGGTTTCCAAAAAACACAGAAAGGGATAGAAAACATGAACATCTCTCTTCATTATTATATACATTTAATTCATGATTTTAAGTCTTCACATACAAACACACACACCACACATTGACTCAGATGATTCAACAGGTGAAACTTGCAAAAAGTCATTTTAATTTTTAAAAAGTCTTTTAAAAAATAAAGAAGAAATACTTTCCCTAAGCTATGAAGTCAGTAAACCTTCATATCAAACCAGACTAGGACATGGGACAAAGACACTTTCTAGAAGAATGTCATTCATGAGCAGAGATGCAAAGGTCCTATTAGCAAGCAGAATCTAGTAATGTATATAAAAATGATAACACATCATGACCAAGTCACTTTTATCCCAGAAATACAAGAATGGTTTAATGTTTTAAAATCTATAAATGCCATTTATTATAGTAAAGTTAAAGATGAACAATTATGTGATCATTTTAATGTATTCAGAAAAAAGCGTTTGTTAAAAATTTTATGAGAATTATAAAATATAAGATAAAAATTTTCACAAACAAGGAATAGAAGAGAATATCCTTACCATTTTAAAGAAGTTTTATAACAAACTTATGTAAAATATACTTGTTCTTTCTATTTTATTTGTACACATTTTATGGGATACAAGTATAATTTTGTTACATGGATGGATTGCACAGTGGTGAAGTCAGGGCTTTTAGGGTATCCATCACCCAAATAATACATATTGTATCCATTACATAATTTCTTGTCATCCACTCGTCCGAAATGTTATTTTTGATAGTAAAGAATGACAAATACCTTTAAAATGAGGAGCAAGTCAAATATGCTTAACTTCACCATCACCTATTTATTAAATATTGGAGTCAATATTTGAGCCACTGTAATGGGAGACAAAAGTAAAAGTACCAACGACAGGAAAAAAAATGTTATTTTTCAGATCACATAATTTTCTCTGTAGAAAAACAAAAAGAATATAAAACAAAATATTAGAAAGTTTGGGAAGATGGTTGGTATATGATCAATATGTAAATATCAATATGCAGTAGCAATGACAATTTTTAAAACCATTTTAATAATAATACAAAAAGTTGAAAAATTTGTGTTAAAAAAAAAATCTAGCCAGGTGTAGTGGCTCACACCTATAATCCCAGCATTTTTGGGTGCAGAGGCAGGCAGACTTCTTGAACCTAGGAGTTCCAGACCAGCCTGGGTAACATAATGAGACTCTACACATTTTTTTTTTTTTAATAGCCAGGCCTGGTAGACTGTGCCTGTAGTCCTAGCTACTCAGGAGGCTGAGATGGGAGGATTGTTTGAGCTTGGTAGTTGAGGTGCAATGAGTTGTGATTGCACCAGTACACCGCAGCCTGGGTGGCAGAGCAAGACCCTGTTTCAAAAAAAGAAAAAAATTTACAAAATTCCAAGTTATCTAGGAATGAGCCAAAAAAAAAAAAAATCTGTACAAAGAGAACTATAATGTATATGAACTATTATAGAAAGGTATTAAAGAAAACCTATACAAATGAGAAGATATATCATGATTATGGATTAGAATGCTCGGTAGCATACAGATATTAATTCTTCTCAAATTTCTTGAAAAGATGAAACCAGGCATGGTGGCTCATGCCTGTAATCCCAGCACTTTGGGAGGCCGAGGTGAGCAGATCACCTGAGGTTGGGAGTTCGAGACCAGCCTGACCAACATGGAGAAACCCCATCTTTACTAAAAATGCAGAAAATTAGCCAGGCATGGTGATGCACGCCTGTAATCCCAACTACTCAGGAGGCTGAGGCAAGAGAATCGCTTGAACATAGGAGGCAGAGGTTGTGGTGAGCCAAGATTATGCCACTGCACTCTAGCCTGGGCAACAAGAGCAAAATCCTATTTAAAAAAAAAAAAAAGACAATAAAAGTACATTTAACATATATCAATAAAAATAAATAAATAATTTTTAAACGTTATAAGGACATTGAAAACAAATTTTCAACTACGTCTTTAGGTTACTTGTCCTACCAGGTATCAGGACCTTTATGAAGCAGTAGTAATTAAGACAGCTAAACAACATTTTTGAATGTTTAAAAAATATCAAAGAGCATGTCTTTAAAATGTTGAAATAGTTTAAGATTTCATAAGCAAGATACTAAGAGAAACAAGCATAAAATAGATTTAAAATTCACTTCATCTGCATCAAAATTTAAAAATGTCTGTTCATCCAAAGACACCATAAAGAAAGTAAAAACAAAGCATAAGTAGAGAGAATATTTTTAGAATTAACATAACTGACAAAAGACTGGTGTACTGAATATATAATATGCAAAAAAAATAGAAAATATGACATGAACAGGCTTTTCACAGAAAATAAAGTAGGAATGTCAAATATGGGAAAAAAAACGCTTAACCTCAATAATCAGGGAAATCCCATTGGAGAACTATGAGATACAATCTTACATCACTTAGTTTGGGAAAAATTAATAATTGGATTATACCAAGTCTTGGAGAGTATGTGGATTAATGGAGGTTCCCAAATATTGCTTTGTAGGAATATAAATTGGCATATGCATCTGAAATACAAATTGGCATTCTCTATTAAATTTGAGCATACATATATCCCAGGTAGAAAAGAATGTCATGGAATGCAAAAACAAATTTAAAAACATCCAGAATGTATAAAGCAATGGAGGTGTAACACAATAAAGCACCTGTGGAATATTTCAGAGAACTGTACATTTTAATAGATAGAGCACAAGATATATGTTTATGGTGAAAGAGGAGGAGATTTTATTAGCAATATTGGCAAACTGCCAACTCACAGTGTGTTGTTTTTGCAATGTTAAGAAGTTTGTGCATTGCCCCATATGCCCAAATGTTTCAGGCATTCTTAGTCATGGAACTCCTTGAAGCTGAAAGTCAAAAATATAAAAAGGCAGAAAAGCAGAGCTGCTCTGATTGGAATTGGAGGACCTTGGACCAGAAGGGAAGAGCTCTTCCTCCCCTTCCACAGAGATCCCTAAGAATATACCACAGTGCTCCTAATGCTTGGACACAGGTTTTAAAAAGTCCTTGTGGGCAATAGAGTTTTGGGCACTGCAGGGCCACAATCTAATTTGCATTACAGAAGCA